AGTGCGCACCGGGGATCCAAACCTGGGCCACCAGTAGCAGAGCGCATGCACTTAACTGCTAAGCCACGGGGCCAGCCCAGGATTTCATATTATTCTTAAAGTCATTAAAGAAAGCATACACCTTCTTTGGTAACTGGTTCTAGCTATTAACACCCAGAAACCTGTTTTCGGGGGTATTTTTTTTCTTATGTATTTACCTATATCATACCTGCTATAGAGTATTAAAGATAGTTCCTCACCAAACTATATATACTAACTCTTCATATTCTTAAAGGTAATTACTAACGTAGCCCTCATCATTTCTCTTCATACTCAGCCATCCTAATTCCTTTAATATTTCCTCAAGAGTCTATTTTCCAGTCCTTTTCTCATATTCACTAAACCTAGTGTACATTTGCCAAATCTTCCAAACTGCAGAACTTAGTATATCCTAAAAGCAGAAGCAATGCCAAAGAAAAAAACAATTTTGAGGTAGGTGAAAACATGCCTCTGGAGAAGAGGATCAAAAAGGAATCAACGATGCGGAGTATGGGGTGGGAACTATTGGAAGTAGTCAAACACTTACTCAACCATTCTGGATACAAGTGCAAAGCTAGAAGAAATATACCATGGAAAGTGAGATAAAACAGATTTGCTTTCGTGTTTCTTCCTTTTTTTTAAATCTATCACCAAAGCCCTCTAAGAGGGTTCAATAACAAATTATTAGATTTTGCTCTAAAACAATAGTTGTTAAATTGCCTCAATATTCACCAACGTGTTCCTAAGCTGTGGACTGATTTTTACCTGAATGGCACTTCTTCCTGTGGAACATCCACATAGTAACGAATAAAAAATCTCTCAGAATCTTCTCGCTCGCCATCTGTAACAACGCTGCCATTAAGTTTGGAAACCGATGGCAATCTGTAAGTAAAAACCAAAATAACGACATTTTAAGATACTAAAAATATTTAGCTTTAGAAATAAAATTATTGGTTTGAGGCCCAGTCTTATTCTCTTGAAAGGACACATCTGCTGTAGCTCTGCTTCTATATAACTACTGACATGAACTTAAGTGGTATAAAATAAAATGACCAAAAATACCTCAATTTTCTTTTTAAGATATTACACTGACCTTTTACAACTATACCTCACCTTCCAACATGAGATTCTAGGCAGCACTGTCCAACTTACACAGAATGCAAGCCACATATGTAATTTTAAATTCTCCAAGGTAGCCTTATTTTAAAGACTAAAAATAAAACAGGTGAAATTAATTTTAATAATATATTTTATTTCACCCAATATATTCAGGATTTAATCATTTCAACCTGTAATCAATACCACAAAATAACTGAGATACTTTACATTCTTTTTTCACAGTATTTGAAATCCAGTGTGTATTTTACACTTACAGCACATTTCAGTTCAAACTAGCCATAATTCAAGTGCTCAAAAGTCACATACCATATAGTTCAGGAATTAATTTATTATATTTACAAAAGAATTGTGTAAAGAAAGTAAAGTATAACGCCTATTGCAAGACATTCTTCTTAGAAGAAAAGCATGCTGAAATGTATTTCCTCAGTGAGATACTAAGGTGTATGTTAACAACTGGAAAGCAGTGGGATCTGCTAGATGTTAGTTCGTCAGCAAGATCAGTACCCTGTTTAAAGAACCATTCTTCTTTAGGGAACCTTAAAGCCTACTGTTCCCTTTTCAAAACTACCATGTATAGCATGCATAGAGAACAAATCAAAACTCCGTGGCCCTTCACATCTTAGCCAAATCTTACTGCTGCTCAACGTGCATACGAAAATAAACACTCAGGGGACATTTCAGTAGTCTGTAGGAGGGAGAGTCTGTGACACGACACGAAAGGCAAGGGAGTTGGAGGAAGAAGATGACAATATGGTGGTCATATTTAAGTCAATCTATATTCAAGAAGAAAACACAGATACTGCTCTTAAATTCTACACAAATGAAACAGCCCAATTTTCAGGTATTTACACTTTAAATGACCACTATGTTAGAGAAAATAGGACAACTAAAATAGAATTGATTCCCTATTATACCTACTTTTTCTTCATGACCCAAAACAGGACTTCAAATATTGTAAATATTGAAAAATATAAAAATAGAATAGATTTGTAAGGGAACTTTTCAGTGATCTTGGCAGGCTAATTATATTTCACCTTTTCCTCATCATATTGTATTCCTTTTCTTCCTGGATTTGAAGCAACAGAAGCAGCTCCTTCAAGAACAGTGTGTGCAAGAGACAGATCAACTTACAGCGCACACCCCCCCACAAATAGTGCATCATCCGCTTGATGAAACAACAAGGCCCCGAGAACAGAAAGCAGAATAATCAGGACAACAGACCTGGCTACTACCAATTTCCTTCGTTCCTCGGTGGTATATGGCTGCAGAAGAGGTATTCCTAATAATCTCACTTCCTCCAGTTTGGGGAATGAATTTAGTTTGTCAATGTCTTCCCAGGACTGCAAACCTAATTTTAGAAATATATTGTTTAAGTAAATCCAGAAAAGCACACAACTAAGCACATAGCAAAAAAAAATTACTTCAATTAATAATTTCTGAAATGCTAAAATAATCATAAACTAGTTAGAGTCTGAAATTTTTCTTTATCCAAGGCAAGAATGGAACACAGTTAAACACTCTAAAAACTTCCCTATAGCCCTCTCCTGTCCCTGTGATCCCAGTGGTCAAGGAGAGGCATCTTTATTTTCCAATATCCACTCATGTACTGAGTCTCCACCCAAATGGCTTGTAAAGGGGGTCACTGGTGGTTTCAATAAGCAGGATGTATACCAAGATTACATAATAAAAAAAGTGATGCAATCAACTATTTCATCAAACATAGACTCACAGAACATATAACTATTGATCAGAGTTGATACTGTCATACTCAATTTTTTATCTAACAAATTCTAAAATGGGGCAAGGTCAACAGAACCAGAAACTAAATATTATCTCTTAAACTGCCCTCATTTTGGAGACAGGGAAAACAGATTCAAAATTTAAAACAAACAAACAAAAACGTAAACAAAAAACCTGAACCCTTAGGTAGGAGAACATACAACAAATTAAGATCATTTAGTCCTAAAACAAAAGAGTCCTATGGCTGTGAGCAAATGTATTATCCAGGTCAATACTTGGCACTGGTAGGAAAAATGTTCCTGTAATAAAGCTGGTCAATTTTATAACACAGGAAATCCATTTCCGGGAACAATGTAGTCCCTTCCTATTTCTATCAACCTTCAGCAAGGGTAAAGGCAGAGGTGCAATTAATGAGGACTCTGGTGCATAACTATCTCAAGTCACACAGTTCTCTTCCCTTCAGAATGGCATTTCCATCTAGGAAGAAGAATAGTTAGCTCGAGGGGTGTCGAGTTGTGAAATAAACAGCTTCCTTACGCAAAATACTGGTTTATAAAACTTAATTCCCAAATTAAACTGGCAAATTAAACTGTTTATGTTTTTTCAATTGTAGGTTAGAGTTATTTTTAGCTATGTAGTTGTTTTAAGAAATAGGCCTAAAGACAATGTTAAGAGAATGAAAAGAAAAGCCACAGACTGGAAGAATATATTTGCTGAAGACACATCTGATAAAGGACTGTTATTCACAACATAGAAGAACTCTTAAAACTCAACAATAAGAAAATGAACAATCTGATTAAAAAATGGGTAAAAGACCTGAACAGACACCTCACCAAAGAAGATCTATAGATGGCAAGTAACCACATGAAAATATGTTCAACATCATGTGTCATCAGGAAAATGCAAATTAAAACAACAATGAGATACCACTACACACCTATTAGAACAGTCAAAATCCAAAACACTGACAACACCAAATGCTGACGAAGACATGCAGCAACAGGAACTCTCATTCACTGCTGGTGGGAATGCAAAATGGTACAGCCACTTTGGAAGACAGTTCAGCAGTTACTTACCAAACTAAACATACTCTTACCATATAATCTAGCAATTGCACTCCTTGGTATTTACCCAAATGAACTGAAAAGTTATGTCCATACAAAAACTTGTACATGGAGGTTTACAGCAGCTTTATGAATAATTGCCAAAACTTGGAAGCAACCAAGATGTCCTTCAGTTTGTGAGTAGATAAATAAACCATGGTAATCCAAACAATGGAATATTATTCAGCGCTAAAAAGAAATGAGCTATCAAGCCATGAACAGACATAGAGGAAACTTAAATGCATATTACTGAGTGAAAGAAGCTAATCTGAAAATGCTACATACTGTATGATTCCAACAATGTGACATTCTGGAAAAGGTAAAACTATGGAGACACTAAGAAGATCAGTGGTTGCCAGGGATTAGTGGGGAGGGAAGGATGAATAGGCAGAGCACAGAGGATCGTTAGGGCAGTGAAACTATTATGTACGATTCTACAGTGGCGAAGATGTGTCATACCTTTGTCCAAACCCATAAAACGTACAACACCAAGAGTGATCTCTAATGTAAACTATGGACTTTGAGTGATGGTGTGTCAGTGTAGGATCGATTGTAACAAATGTACCACTTTGGTGCTGGGATGATGTTGATAGTGGGGGAGGCTGTGCATGTGTGGGGGCAGGGAGTATTTGGGAACTCTGTACTTTCTGCTCAATTTTGCTGTGAATCTGAAACTGCTCTAAAAAATAAAGTTTATTAATTTTAAAAAATAGGCTAAAATATTCATTCCTGAGATACACAGAATCAGACGGCAACAAACAGGCAATCAACTGTATATAAATACTAGAAAAGCAAGCATTTGAAAGGCATAGCAGGGTGGGATTCCTTAACCCAAACCCAGATAAAACAGTCTAGTTTATAATTCTCTGTACTATTTTTCTCTGCATTTTACTATCCAGTTCATCAACTTCACTTCACTCCTTTCATAGCATGACCCCTTTAATACATAAAATATAAATAGCTAGTATAATGCTATGCCACTTGATATTTATCAGAGCATTTATGAAAATGAATACCTTAAATTTAGTTAATCAATAGGCATCTGCATGTCACTCTTGAAAATTCATCCTATAAGAAGGCAGAGCTATGACTGAAAGAAATATACCTTCACTGCATTTCATGCATAAGCTCAGATCAATTTGCATGAAGAATGAGAACAAGCCTGTACCTCACCTGACTTGTGGAGGCTGATGGATCGCAGATTAGGAAACAACCTGGCCAATGAATCATCAGGCTCCTCAATAGCATTCAAATGATTGTTGGCCAGGACGAGGGTATCCAGTGAAGGAAACATAACTCCTAATTTTCGTATTTCAGTCCAGTCTTGGAGGTTATTGTCTGTTATATGTAGTAGCTTAAGAGAATGACAGCAAATAGAAGGACAAGACACTGTTTTATAGTCATTAAGGCACAGGAAGAGCTCCTCCAAACTGCAGAGAAAAAAGAAAATATTTCATTGTTTAAAGCAGTTGTTTCTACTTTGCTTTTCTATTTTCATTCATTCAATCAATAAGTGCCTACTGTGTGTGAAATTCTGCTAGGTGTTGTAGAGAAAATATAAAGATGTCTTCCTGAAGCTTCAAAGATAGCTGGGAAGACAAAACTTAAAATACATAAAACAAGCAGAGAATGATATAACCCAGTACTAAGTCAATTTTGTGCTTAAATAATTAAGTGCTAAATTAAGCGGTACTAACTGTAATTACAATAGTAGTTCATACAGGAATGGAATTGAAGTTGTAGTGAGAATAATCAGGAAAGGATGCATGGCCCTGAAGGAGGGGTGGACTTGCATAGCTTCAGAGGAGATAGAAGGAAACTCCAGAAACAACGTGAACAAATGTTTAGAAATAGAAATAATAACTATCATTGAATTCCTACCCCGTGTCAGGCCCTGTGCCAGGTGCTTTCTAGACTGTACTTCTATTTCTGCAAGGTAAATACAATTATGCCCATTTGACAGACAAGGAAACAGAGCTCAAAGGGGTTACTTAGCTTACTAAAGGTCATATGGATAGTAAGTAGAACTGGGACTTAAAAGCTCATTTGATGCCATGCTAGGTGTTCCATGCAGTGAGGAAACCAGTCTCAGAGTGAGAAACTAAGATGGAATAAGTGGGTTGAGACCAGATTCTGAAAGGCTTTGATAATTTCCATATTTAGACGTCAAAGAAACTATAGCTTCATATATTTCTTTAAACTACTTCCTTTGAATATTTATGTGCATATAAAAAGATAGAGAAAAACAAAACATAACAAAGCATTTCTAAACTGACAAACAAAAGTATAATTTCTTGCTTCAATTATTGAAAAGAATGCCAGGTCCATTTTCCCATCTGGCCTGCTGGGCACTTAATGATCTGAGTGTTAATACATTTTAGAGATACCACGATTTTTTTTTCCTCCCCAAGAAAAGGGCTGAGGCAAAATTCTGAAATCAGGTAATCAGAAGATTAAAATGGAGAAAGGTTGGGTTGATCTAGAAATGATAAGTGCTTCTCAGGGATATTTTCTAGCCAAAGGATGACATATCCTATGTCTTGGAGTTACTCAACACGAGCAAGTATTCCAATGAAAATGCTACTAGATTACCCTCACACCCTCATTCTAATTACTTCATTTTTCTAACCTCATTCTCCATTCAATCTTCAGTTCTAGTATTTCTGAGATGGGAGATCAGCAGTAATTCTATGTATTAACACAGATGGCAACATAGCTCCCTCTCCATCATGCTCTCTGGGCTTACTCTGGTAACTCCTGCAGTATCGTGTGGACTGTCTCCCAAGAAGCTTTGCTGTTGTTGAGGACAAGTTTGCGAACCCCAGAGAAGGACCCAGCACACGTTCTTTCTAAAACCGATAAATTCAGAGGATTGGAACTCAGGTTTAGAAACTCCAACTGGGGAACATTTGACACAATTTTACTGACCTAGGGAGAAAAAAAGAAAAGTATATCAGGCAGTAATCAGAGCTTTTAAATAGCAAACATGCTCAAGAAAGCCTCAGTGAGTGGGTTTCCAGGCAAAGGGCCATTTACGTTTGGGAGTCCTATTTAGTGATGGTACCCATAGAGGGGCATAAATAATTTCAACAAATCTTGGCAATAATTTCATCTCTTTCTGTGAAATAGTGGCATGACTGAAAATTAATGGTACAAAAGAAAGATTTCCCATGTTGCCTTTGGCAAGGTTTTTGATTCTGCTCTATATGATACTCTCTGATAAATGCAGAAAAGATACTTTAGATGACATTTTAGGGTATAAGTTTCTAAAGAGCTGAGATTGGGTAATGTAATTCTCTTTGAATATCTCCTTCCTTCCACCCTCAGTACAACAAGGCTAATTAAAGGTTTATTGACGACCACAAATCAGGTGTTCAAAATTGACTACATAGTCACAATCACTTAGAAAAGTTCCTGCTTGATTCAAAGATGTACCAAACTTTAGAATATATTTACTCAAAAACAAAAAGCATCCATAACTACATAATGAAAGAGAAAACATGATCATCAATTTAACGATTTAGCTAGCTACTTAATAGACAAAAAGAAAAAAAAAGGAGGGGCCAGCCTGGTGGTGCAGTGGTTAAGTGCACGCACTCCACTTAGGTGGCCCAGGGTTTGCAGGTTCAGATCTGGATGCGCACTGACGCATTGCTTGTCAAGCCATGCTGTGGGGGCATCCCATATAAAGCAGAGGAAGATGGGCATGGATGTTAGCCCAGGGCCAATCTTCCTCAGCAAAAGGAGGAGGATTGGCATCGGATGTTAGCTCAGGGCTGATCTTCCTCACAAAAAAAAAAAGGAAATAACAATTATTGACCTTAACTATTTGCTCTGCATAGTACTAGTCTCCTTGATACAGCTTATTTCACTAAATTCTCGAAACAACCTGCAAGACAGCTAATACTGTTTTCATTTTAATAAATGAGGAAACTGAGGCTCAGAGATGTTAAATAATTTGACTAAGGTCTCAGAGTCACAGAAGCCAAACCTAGGATTTAAAAATCAGAGCCATTGTTCTTTCCAATATACCACAACTAGTAAATTATAAATATAACCAGAAAAAAATGAAGAACTAGCTTAAACAAGTAAGAAATAAATTGTAGAAGCCCAGTAAATGTGTTAAGCATCAAACAGCCAGGCAATGTGGTAACTAAATGGTATGAAAAAATGAGTACAACAGAAGAGTTAGAATTGTTTCTAGAGTCAGAAAACCTAGGTTCAAACCAGGTTCCAGCACTTTCTAGCTGTGTGGTTTGACAGTTTACTTAACCTTTCCAAATCTCAGTTTCCTCATTTGTAACATAGAGAAAATAGTACTCACCTATTTTACACGATTGTTGGTAGAATTAAATGAGATACATGAGTAAAGCACTTAACATAGTGATTGTTTTAGAATATCTTTTAGAAACCTGTTTCCTTACCTATTCCCCAGCAGAAAGTATGAAAGTGGGGACAGCACTTACCTAGTTCACTACTGCATAGTGGGCACTGAATGTTTGTTGAATATATTAATGGCACAAAATCATTCAAGAAATCATATTACTAATATGATAACTATAGTATGAACCAATATTGCAACCCTGGCTATATGTCATATCATATTTATTTTAACTTGAAAATGTCACATTTAAAATCATTGGTAGGGCCGGCCCGTGGCTTAGCAGTTAAGTGCGCGCGCTCTGCTGCTGGCGGCCCGGGGTTCGGATCCCGGGCGTGCACCGCCGCACCGCTTCTCCGGCCATGCTGAGGCCATGTCCCACATACAGCAACTAGAAGGATGTGCAACTATGACATACAACTATCTACTGGGGCTTTCGGGGAAAAAATAAATAAATAAAATTAAAATCATTGGTAGATTCCCAGGATCCACCATAAACTACTGAATCAGAAGGTTCATAGGTGGGACAAGCTTCATGGTTGGGACCTGAATACCTGTTTCTTTTCAGAGCTCCATAGGCAATACCAAAAAGGTATCCAGTATTGAGAACCACGGGTAGAAAGAAAAGGTAATATGTACTTTACATCAGATCTACTGCGTACTGTACAGTTCAGGAGCTCTAAAATCAGTGAGAAGTAGATTAATTCCAAGAAGGTTCAGAAAAGTATGTCAGAGGGAACAGCTGTCACATACACGATTTCATCTACTCTACACACTAACCCTTTCAAGTGGTACCATTTTTATCCTCATTTTGCAAATGAAGAAATGAGCTATCATTTAGAGAAAATACACTAGGCTTCAGTTTAAAATGTAGGAATTTACACCATTCTGCATATATTCTCCTGCTTGATCCCTTTTGTGACCAAATGGTACCAAGCATTTGTGTGATATACGCTAGGATTTGGAGTTTAATCTGCGGCCACAATGCAGCTAAATAGTCTACACAGGGACTAATCCTCTACTGCATTCTACCACCTGAATACTAAAGATATGAGGACTTTCATACAGAAGATCACGACCAGCTATGTTTTACCTCTTTTAAGGGCAAAAAAGGATGAGGAGGAATTACACTCTGACTAAAGACTGAAGAATAATTGCTAATTATAGTACAACCCCAGTTAAATAAAAACAAAACATAAACCTTTTGCTAACCACCATCCTTCATATTTTATTTTTTATAACAAAGAGGAAAATACCCCCAAAATTGATAACTTAAAGGTTTTTGAAGCAATTTCTGGGAGAAGTCCCAAGGCTAGCAGATACGTGATGTAATCTTTTTCATAGTCTGCATCTACACTATTGTCCAATAAGAATAAAGACTTAGAATAATAACTCATTAGCCTTGGAATATTCTAAAAAGATAAAATTGTACTATCATCTAATAATTCAAGCAGGAAAAATAATATATGTTAAAAATATTTTCTTTAAAAGGCTAAAATTGGATAACCTTAAATTAATGATAAGATTCTGGAAAATATTATATTCCTCACACAGGTAAATTTACTTATGACAGAAAAACATCCCAATAGCAAAGGCTGACAAACATTCGGTGAGTTTCTATGGTAGTATATTGATTTCTCTTTTAAATTCTAAAAATAAAAACGACTCCTCCTGCTAGAGTGAGTTGAGTATACTCATGTGCAAGAGTAGAGAGAAACATGGAGATGAACTTAGATCACCTTTTAGGTCTCCACAATTCAATGATGTAATAGGGGACCCTCTACTTTGGCTTCTACAAAGGAAGAAACTAAAGTTTTAAGAAAAATGGGGCAAGGGTTGCAAGATAACAATCTGTAACTTATACCCAAGCTATTCTCTACCTCACCTGAGTGGCTAATTCCTCTCTCCTCTCAACTACTTGGTTTAATTTCTTTTATAAAATGGTTTTGATAAGGAAGGGAGAAAAAAGGAGATACCTTGGGAAAGGTCAGACAAAAATCTACTTACCCAAAAATTCAAGTCAAAAGCTAAAACATGCCATCTTTTTTTTACACATAGATGCCCAATTTTAGAAGGATGGAGACAAATTTTTGCCTCCTCCCAAAGAACTACACTTCTCATTCATATGTATCTTAGTCTCTGGATATACAGCAGCCAGCCATTTAAACTACCAAAGAAGTTACTCATAACATTACTGACCATTCAAAACACTAAAAGAACAAACGATACTATTTTGTTCCACATTGCTATATCAAATACTGCTGAAATAAAGTAAGTTAATGACCAGGGACAAATATCTTTTTGGTAATCAGACATATGGGTTGTAACGGGGTTGAAATGTCATGTCTTAAAAGTGTGACCTATGAAGCATTTGTAGCCTGGCAAAGAGTTTAATCAATCCTAAAAATCAATATTCTTTGCTGTCAGTATTTCTCCCATCTCTCTGTGCTCTCATATATATTCTAGAAGATTGGGATCAACTACAGTTAAGGCTAAGGACAAAATATAAAGGAATGAGGAAAACAAAAATAAATTGGAAAATGGAAACCTGAAGGGTAGCAGCAACAAACGTTTATATGAAAATAAACTATAGAGCATACACAGGAAAATACAAACTGAGTACAAATAGAGCACAAATAAACTGGCTATATATGTCAATTTGGCCTAAGAAATATTCAGTGTAGACCTTTGTCTAAGCAGAGAAAAGGCTGAATTACCTAGTGCAAATCCCATGTTCTGACTCATATTGACATAAATCATTCTTCTGAGATAACACTGCAACACTATTAAGCTGTTCCCACCAGGTAGTAAAGCATGTGTTCAAAGCATAGGTCAAAGCACAAAGCATAAAAACTTTGTGAAATTTTATACTCCCAAAGAAACAAATTTAGGGGAATCAGCCTGTGAACATAGGAGCTGAAATGATTCAGAGGAAGATTTGGTCTGATCTGTCACCCAGGCAGGTCACAAATCTTACCAGAGGTTCAGCAGTAGGACTACTGTGGGAATCCTGGAGAAGGAGGATTGACAAGGTAGTTCTTTTTCCAGTGTGAACACAGCATGCATGTCAATTAAGCATCTCAAAGGACCAAAAAGGCATAGACTGTGATTTGTTGAACAGTAAACTATACTAGTTGTTTAGATAAGCAAATCAATGAATAAATACATGAGCAAATAGACATTGTTTCACAGAACAGCCCAGTAAATCTGCATATACTAACAAGTCACTTAGAAATCAAAAGTGACATGCACCTCAAAGAATTTTGGTAAACTTCTTAATAAAAATAGGAAATATAACCGAGTTACCAGATTAAACAAGACAATAAAATGGATAAATATAAGAAAAACTGAAGAAAACTACATTATAGTATGTGCCTAGTATGCTTAGTGCTGATGATAAAAAAAGACAAAAATCTCTACTTTGAATAAGCTCATAGTCTAGTAGGAAAACTGTCAAGTAAGCAAGTGATTGCACTACAAGGTGATAAATCCTTTCACAGCAGCATGCTACAGGTGCTGGGATAATCTGACTCTGCCTGAGAGCCAGGGAAAGTTTCACAGAGGAATAGCAACTTGAGCCAAGTCTTGAAAGATACATGGGAAGTGGCCAGGTAGACAAGAGGAGAAAGAGAGCAATAGATTCAGAATGAATAAAAGCAAGGAAGCTTTTCATGTCAAGAGTATATCATGAGCTGCAAGAAAAAGCATATGGCTGAAGATGGAGATAAAGCTCGAGAAATAGCAAAGGGCCATATGATGGAGGGCTGCGATTAGAGAGTTCAGACCTTAGTTTCTAGGCAATGAAAAGCAACTAAAGGACTTCAAGCATGTCATAATCATGTTTCATTTATTAAAAGGAGTCTGGTAGCACTGTAGACGATTGCTTAGAGGAAGCAGAATAAAACTAGAGGCAAGAAACCCCAGTAGGAAGTTTTTCCAGCAGTCCAAGCAAGAATTAAGAGCCTAAATTAAGGCAAGAGAATGAATCAAGTAGGAAGAATTATTTTTCCCTTATTCTTAAGGGTAGCTTCATCAGGTAATGTTATAATCAAGTAGGTAATATTATATATAATAATCAGAGAGGAGATTATACTAATTTTATTTGTGTACTTGGTATAGAGTCACTCTAAGGTCAAAAGGCATCAGTTATGTCAAACCACCAAAGAGACTTAACAATACAGGGAAAAGTTCTAAAATATTTGGAATAAACATTAGTAACAAGAATATTTTTATAATCTTAGTTTCAAGCTCAAGCAATTTTTATGTCAACTTGTAAAAATAAATATTGAAGTAGTAGCAGAGAATGAGCATAGGATGTGTAAACTAGTGAAACAGCAGAACATTTAATGCATTGTTAGCAGTCTAAACCTCCGTAATCTCATTAACTTCTTGATATCTGAAATAAAGTTCTTCAGAGCTTTTTACATTAATGAAAAACAAATTAGCAATAACAAAGCTAACTGAAAAATCACCATAGAAACAGTTGAAGTAGCTGGTTATTTATCCTGAGACATACAGACAACAAGAATCTCAAGTGAGAACCAGAATTCAGCAGAATACATAACATAAACAATAATACAATGGCTATTGCTGCATCTCACCAAAATGCAGCAATATAAAAACTTCACCTCATGCCAGTCTTCCAGTTTGTTGTCAGAAAGATCTAGTTCCGACACATGAGCACAGAAAGCAGCAATTTCTTTTTCATCTCCTGCACAGGTTATTCCACAGCTGTTCAACACCAGTACACTTGGGAGGTTGAGGCGATCTGAATCACAGAGCAAACAAAACACTTTCTACGTCAGCCTAATTCTTGTCTACATATACTCAGCCCCCAGGAATCAAAATCAAATTGTGTGAAATTACACAAGGACCTGGAAAATACAGGATATGATGGGATCCAAGGGTATTGAATTCTAAGGGGAAACAGCCAAATATGGCCCAGGAGGAGATTAGAAGTGTACTGGACCAGTACTACCAAAAATCTTCTATAGGTTTTAACTCCTGGCAGCATTGTTTATCTCAGTAACCAACAACAGGGCCATCATCCATGCTATCATCTTATCATCTGAACACTAGATCCATGAGATTCATGTCTGAATACCACTGTCTTTTATTGGCCTCTTCTTTCTTTTTTTAATTTAGTTCAAAAGTGTCATTCTGGATAGCTCTTTTCTCTCTGCCTGATGTGTATTTTCACCTTTCGCTGCCTTTGAAAATTATCTCAAACCATTAGGTAGTCCATGTGCTAAACCATTTCTGTTCTTCAAGTTCATATCATTCAAGCAATCTTCCTCACTTAAGTGGATCCATTTAGAAATCTACATCTCTTTCTCTCATACTTGTCCATCAATCATTCTCATTTCATAGCCGTGTAGAATCTGTCCCTTACAAAAATTAGACTTTTTAAAAAATATAATTGTAATGGGAGAAAGTGTTTCAGAGTCTTAAACTATTCAAAGAATTTGGTCAAACTGGGGTAATCAAACTATTGCCTGGTTCAAAAATACATGTGTCAATAAAATTGCTCTTACTATCTCTAATAAAAAGGATAAACATGAGAATTCAACCACTCTTTCCCTACTTGGTATAAAACAAGGACTCACAAAGTTAGTATTTAATTAATGGAAGCTTCAAATTATGTGACTTTTCAACTTAGTACTTTTCAATATCAAATTTTTCAGAATAGGAAGGGATTCTGAAAAAAAATTACCAAGTAAGAAGTTCATTTCTTTGGGCCGTTCCAGTTTATATGGAGTGATAAGATAGTTGCATTGAGAAATAACGAACACTCAGCAACCTTCAGACATAAGAACTAAAACACTGTTCAATATTAATCCCACATAATTACAAAGAACTACTTCCAAGAATTGTTAATTACAACATTAAGCTAAAATGCAAGCAAAAAACATACCTTGCACGTTTCTAGTTGTAGATCTTTGCTCACATCATAATCCCTCTCCTAGAATGTCTTTATCTCCTCTCTAACCAAATGCTACATTCTTGAAGGACTGGTTCAAGTCTCACAGCTTTGAATCCTTTCATGATCATATTAATTAACTCGCTTCTAAATTTCTTTACCAATCACTGTGCCATTCATTTGGTTCAACATAAACTATGTTGTGTCACATATTTGTAAATGGGAATATCTTGTAATCCAATTAGGCTGTGGTCCTTGAGGACACAGGCCAGTCTTGCACTATCTTGCACCCTCCAAGTTCCCTGAAAGAATATGCATGTGAAATATTATCACTAAAATATTGTTCTTGCCCTACAAGTGTAACTAAAATGCCTTTTGGCCAGTCTGAAAAAAAACAAGTCCTTTCAGGTTTTTTAAAAAACTGAAATCATAGCAAGGGAGAAAGACTACTTGACTCATAATTCAAAATAGAGGAAATCATTTGCAAATAAGGGAATATTCTGGTTTAATGTCTTAAGTAAACTCCAATAAATAAATGTTTTAGGTCCCATCTTTCTTACCTTTCATAGGAGAGCCCTGAGGTGTGGCTGGGACATGGACTCCCATCCCAGGACCACGGCGGTAAGGAAAGTTTTCAGGACTATACTTTTCACATAATACTTGCATAAAACTCCTTCCACTAGGTTGATCCATCTTCCTTTCCTAAAATTCTACAAGAAACCAAGAAATCATCAAAATTATTTATTTACTCATATGAGAAATACTTATTGAAATTAATTATTTATAAGGCACCAGGCTAGGCACTGCAGACATATAAGACATGGTCACTGCCCCCAGAAATTTACACTGTGGTGTAACCTTAGGATTTAGGGAAGCTGCAATGAGGACAAATGACAGCAATACAGTTCAGCATATGATAATTGCAATACAGATTAAAAGTGCTACAAGATTTAGAAGAGGAGGCAATCATTTACAAGGAAGGGTAATGAAGACTTTTGGCTGGTGTGTACGGTTCATGTGGTAAGTAACAGAAAAAAGGACTAAAAAGGAAGGTATAGACTAAACATGAGACTAAAAGTTTGGATGAATCCTTTGATATTTGTCTCTGAAAATCCATTCTCCTCTTCCTCCACAGTAAAAGAATTTTTAACTGTATACATAGCTACTTCCATTTAGGAATGAGTATATGAGTAAGTTCTAGTTGACGAGATAGAAATAAAGTATTCTGAGGTAGCTTCTGGGAATCATCCTTAAAAGATAGCCCGAGTATGCCCATTGCCCTCTTTCTTTGTCTCTTCCTCAATTCTATTACCTAGAAAACAGATGCCACCTTGGACTATGGGCCCAAGGAACACACCCTAAGGAAAGTGGAGCAAAGAGCTGAAAGGGACCTAGGTCCCTAAGGACTTCATGGAACTGAGCTGCCATATTGGTACGGATTGCCTATCTCTGGAAATTTCAGTGAAAGATAAATAATCTTGTATTTTATTTAAGCCATTCTTCTTTTCAATTTTTCAGTTACTTACAATAGACCTAATAATAACTAATACAGAATGTCATTTCTTTTTGTTTTGAGTTTGGGTAGAGTCTTCACTATCTAACCTCAACTGAGGGTCCAAACACACAGTAACTCCAGCATCCTCTCAGTACTCAGCATAGGTTAAAACAGGTAATACTATACAACATGCTACCTTCTGACAGCCTGCTAACCCATTATCTTGAGGGGCTAGCATATGATCTGTATTAAATATCAATCAAAATATAGGCAATGAATTGACCTCTGTAGTTCCAACTATCAGATATCAAGCTTTCTACTAAAATAATCAGAGAAAGGAAGGAGGATAAACAAAGAAGACGCGATATTATGAAAAAATATATAGCAATGAGAATATACAATGGTATATATGAGAAACCACAAGACATCTAATAGAAGACAGCAACAGGAGTATCTAAATATAAACCTCAGAGGAGATCTTGCATGCTACAGTAAGAGGCTGAACTTGATTCTGTAGGAAACAGGAAGAAACTAAAAGGTTTTAAGGAAGGAAATACAACAACCAATTTTTTGGGAAAACTCACCCTGGCAGTTGTGTAGCTGATAAATATGAGGGAAACAAGATTGAAGGCAGGGAGAAGAGTTAGAAAGATTCTGCAAAACTACAAGAGAGAGATGATGAGCATCTGAAGCAATAGAGTGGTAGTACAAATAGTGGCAGATTCAAGATCAATTTAGAAAGCAAGCTTTTCAGGAATTATAGGGGCTGAGGGGAAGTTGAAGTCAAGGCTGACCTCCAGGTTTCTAGTACAGGTGACCAGGTGACTGGTGATACCATTAAGTACAAAGAAAATATGACGAGATCTAGTTTTAAGTGGGAAAATAATGAATTCCATTTTATACATGTTCAGTCTGGGGCATCTGTGGATTACCCAGGGAAACAGTCTGAAGCTGGATGAGAAATGTGAGCTGAAATGAAGATTTGGACATCATCAGGATATAGGAAATATTATCAATTAGAGCAGTAGAACAATAGAACTCTCAAGGACACTGATATTTAAGAGTCAGGCACAAGAAGCAGAGTCATGAAGGAAAAGAAAAGGAACAATCAGAGAGCAGACTGTATAGTCAAAATTTTGAGAAGTTTTGATGAGAAAGGGAGAAAAAAGATGGGCTGATAAGCTAGGCAGGAATAGGAGGGAGTAGGGAATCGACAGCAATTGTCAAGATTTTTCCCCTTAAAACAGAAGAGACTTGAATATGGTTAAAGATTACAGAGAAGTAGCAAGTAAAGCTGGAAAGCCTAAAAATGACTATTGGTCTGTGGTCCTAGAAGCAAACAGCAGGAATGAGCATTAAAAAACTTCTCAGACGGCTGTTTGATGCTAGCCAGATAATGTTCCAAATTGTTTACCATTGGTGGTGACATATTTACTTACAATGTTGCACTGGTTTACTTTTGCTTATACAGTTTAATTATACTTAATGCTAGGTATTTTTCTCATGTGAGAGTCTTAACTCCACCATTACATTATAAAGGAGAGTGGAGCTGTGTAATGCTATTTCTTCAGTATTGATTCATAGCATCTGGCACAGTACACTACACATGGTAACAGTTCAAGAAATGCTGCTGAGTACTAAAATCACGAGCCTCCAGCAGGCTGAAACAGCAGAGAATCCAGGATTGGGAGTATGTTTAAGACCACGCAGGTCTACCACTTAATAGTTTTCTGCCATCAGGCAAGACACTGTATTTCTCTAGGACTCAAATGTCTTCATCTGTAAAATATGATATTAGTATCTATACTACTTGGATTACAGACTTGCTGTAGAGCTCTAAAATATAGGGATTACAGGGATGTTGTAAGGTTCTAAAATATATAAATGATACTAATTATAAAAGGAAGTTGTAGTGTGGTGGAAAGCACATGGACATAGAAAACTTAGGTTCTGTCATTTATTAGCTGGGTAAAATATAAGCTAGTTATCTAACCTCTCTCTAATTTTGTCACCTATGGATGGGCTGAAATTTTCCTCTCAGACTTGTAATAATAATTTGAAAAAAGTATGACTATAAACGTGGTCTTTAAACTTGGCCGATTTCCTAGATAACTACCAGGACCATGTCTAATACACTTTGTGAAATCAATTCACAAATGCCCATAACGCAGAGCAGACACTCACTGAGCACAAACCCATCTGTTGAACAAAAGTTTCGTCTGTACAATTTACCAAAGTTTAGACTACGGAATACATTTCATAATGAGTATATCACAAGTCACCTTGAAAATACAGGGCTGCCCTCTATCAGGATCCTCATCTGTGAGTTTAAGGATAGAGCCTGTTTTAGAACAAGACAGTTTGTTCTTTCTATCCATAGAGTGTTAAGTGTCTGCCGCTGTCCTCTATCCCAGCACTGACTGTGTCAAAACTGAACTGTGTGTTCATCTAGGACTTCAGGAACCTTCAGGTGGAAAGGTTCTTTTTCAGTGTAAACTTATCACCAATAGCAGACAACACAGAGCAGGTGCTACGCCACTTGTGACAGGCACCACAGTTCTTATCAAAGAACTGTCTCAAGCAGAATGCCAACAGAAATTTTAGAAATGTTTAACAAAAAGTCAAAGAAGTTACATCGCTATCTTCTATGCACTTGGCAGTTCAAAGAATAAAAAGTGGGTGGAGAGGGTGCTGAACTGTCAGTGTCAAAATAATAGTCACCAAGTTTAAATAGTATCTTTTAACTGGAAGCTTCAGAACCACTTAAACTCAAACCTCTTCGATTCAAGGGCAATAATCTTACACACAATTAAATCTAGACAAACTGAGAGATGGTAATATTAGAGACATATTCAAGTTAAAATGAGTGCTAGTGAGCAAGCAATCATGGGAACTTAAAAAAGTTATTCTTCATGGCCCCAGGCCTTAACAACTCTTCCAAATAGTCTGGGTTATTTTTTTTTCTTCTTCTTTTTTGTCTCAAGACTTAAAAGCAATGCCAGGCGCCTTCATTGGTCATTTTCCAGGATACTCTATTGGAATAGCTTTCTAGGAATGCAGATAGTGTACACATTAATACATGGGTTTTGAATTAGAACATTAAGATTGCAAAATGGATCAGTAACATAAATCTACTCAAAATCTGTTGGGGCAGCTTGAGGAGGAACAGTAGGTGGGAAAGGAAAACTGAAAACCAAACAAATTGAAAAATGAGGAAATATAGGATGGAAAAAGATCTTTAACTGGAGCGTTTTAAAAGGTTTTTTTGGGGGGTGGAGGGGTAATCTATGACTTTCTGGAAAGAAGAGGGGTCACATTACATCTGACTACCTCTGCAGCTGGCAGAGTTCTAACACATTTGTAAAAGTATTCTGAATTGGTGCTTAAAGCCAGGGAGCCAGGAACCTTGGGTGATGTTGCTTGGTTCCATTACCAAGTAATGGCGTGTGCCTGTGAAAATCTCAACTCCTTTGTGCCTCAAATCCTGACTATAATATGCTCTTGTAAAGTGCTTGGAGAGAGTCAGGATAAAGGGTAAGTTGGAGGATAAGGTGCTCAGTACACTTTGGCAAAACAGATTAATATGAGAACAGAACATCTTGTCACCTACAGGTCCCCAATTGCTATCAAACATTTCATACTTTATGTTCCAAATCAAAGGGGTCAGGTCAAATTAGTACAAAACTCAACACAACTGAAAACAGACAATAGACCATGTCTGACCACTAACACTGGAAGATATACAAGATATATCCTTATGCTGGTATGCAAGAGCAATATTTACTTCATTAAAAAAAATTCATGGTAAAGTACCATACTTTGTAAAGTATGAATACTACCAGCCTCACTCACAACTTCCAAAAATATAAATACTACCCACAAAGTTCCAAAATATAAATTTTAAATCTTATAAAAAATAGATTTAGGGACTGGCCTGGTGGTGTAATGGTTAAGTTCTCACACTCTGCTTCAGCAGCCCGGCGTTCACAGGTTCGGATGCTGGGCAAGGACCTATCCACTGCTTATCAAGCCATACTGTGGCAGCATCCCACATAAAGTAGAGGAAGATGGGCATAGATGTTAGCCCAAGGCCAATCTTCCTCAGCAAAAAGAGGAGGATTGGCAATAGATGTTAGTTCAGGGCTAATCTTGCTCTCACACACACACACACACACACACACACACACACACAAAAATAGATTTATCTGCTTATAT